GCTACAGGGACTTCCCAATCAGGTAGCCAACACAGCAGTCTATACATTAATTGGGGCAGTACCGATCCGTATGGTGATAGACCGACTATGCTATATTTGATGATGAACATTTTTGTTGTGTAACGCATAGTGCTTTAATGTGCCTTAAATGTTGAACATATTTTACATAAACTGCAGTTGAAGGCAGATATACAATATTTACAGTATATTTAAAGTAGAAGAAATTAAACTTTAGTGCTGGCTATAGACTGCTATAAAGCTAATGTATACCTCCATATTTTTATAATATATAACCACCTATTATTTCGTATTCTAATAAAAAAAAGCAGAAGTTTGATTTTTAATTTTACGTCAATTACATAAGACATCAATATAGAAAATAATGTTTATTCCACTTGAGACTGTGAAACATCTAGTTTTAGATATGTTCCCTATGGTCATGTCCTTACAGGAGACCTCGACATCGTCGAAGACCGTGAGGTCATAACTTTTCTTAAGAAAGTACCGAGATATTGTCCTCCATCTAAAATAGATTGGAAGCAGTGTCGATAGTTCATTAATGACGCTCTGTCTGTCTACTGTAAAAATTGGTGTAAACGTGAAAAATCTGATAAAAACTCTCTAGACAGTTATTTTAATAAAATTATGAATACTGTTACTATTCGTATATCTCATTTTGAAAACAATTCTGAAATTGGTAATAGGGTCCATGATATTCCTATTTCTAGAATAGAAAATGAACTCCAAGTACTGGCAAAGCGGTTTGTGTTCGTACCGGCAGACAAAGCAGTAAATAATGTAGTGGTGGTGTGACGCATATACTACACAGAAGTTCTCCAATACTAAATTACAAATTCATCTACATTCATGTCCGTACGCTCCACAAAGAGTCAAATTGTAAACAAGTATATCACTGCCCAGCTTAAAGCCTCTTGCGAACATTTGAAAGTCCCTACTATGTACTGGTTACCTAAATTGCACAAAAAAAAACATTTAAATTCCGTTTCATCTCCGCATCTAGTAAGTGTTCTACTACCAATCTATCAGTGCTTCTAAATACCTTCCTTTCTACTATCAAAGAACTTGTTATTAACTTTTGTAATAAAGCTTATGAAAATAATGGTATTAATTATTTTTGGAGTGTTAAAAATTCTTTAGAAGTTTTAGATAAAATACATGCTTTTGATGGTCCTTTTAATTCTGTTGACAATTATGATTTTTCTACTCTCTATACTACACTCTCACAAAATCTTATCAAGCAAAAGTTTTCATATTTAATTAAATGATCTTTTGAAAATTCTCATTACAAATTTATTTGCTGTAACTTGTTTAAAGCCTTTTTCTGTAACGAAGAAGGAAAGTATGCTAGATACGCTTACTGGAAATGTGAAGATATGATTGAAGCTTTACATTTTCTCCTGGACAATATATATGTACGTTTCTGCGATAAAGTGAATCGACAAGTAGTATGTTTCCTAAGGGCCCTCACTGCGCCCCTTTCATAGCAGATTTATTCCTGTATTGCTATGAATCTCAGTTTATGACCAAACTCAGTAAAGACACGTCATTGTTACATTTGGTTGATACATTCAACAATACCTTCCGTTATCTTGATGATATTTTTTCGTTAAATAATCCAGAGTTCTGTGAATATACTACCGAAATTCACCCAAAAGAACTTACTTTAACTAAATCTAACATAAACAGCAGTAGTTGTCCTTTTCTAGATTTGGACATTTCAATCTCTAAAGGAAAACTCCATACTAAAATTTACGACTTTTTATTCCCTATTGTTAATTTTCCTTTTTTAGACGGTGATGTTCCTTTTGCTCTAGATCTATCATATGGTGTTTATAGATCCTAACTTGTTCGTTATGCCCGTGTGTGTAGTGATGTCATAGATTTTAACGAACGTAATCAATGCATCACTGGTAAATTATTAAGTCAGGAATTTCGTAACCATAAATTACGTAAAACTTTTACTAAATTCTTTCATAGATACAAAGATTTGATTAGTAATGTGATCCGTGTAAACTCGTCGAACCTTTAAACAAACTTATTATTAAAGGTTATCTTACTAATGTTATTCAATTAGATCTTTGAATATAGTTTACATTGTCACTAATATCGATTTTGTCATCAGCAAATTAAAACATAACTAAATTTGTATTCTTTTCAAACGGGATGTATAAGGACACACCCACGTTCATTTTGATCTATAAAGAGGTTTACTCCTAACAATCATACTGCCTGTCGATACATTTATTTTTGGCATTGCAAAAGTCATGTCTTCTTTGACTGTCCATGACGTTAAAATACTAAATCCCTGGGATGTGTTTTAGTTGATTTTAGTCTCTGGTGCATGATGTTTTATTATTAATTCTTTTTTGGCTTTTAACTAGCTGTCAGTAACTGCGAGTACTCTCAAATCGTACGTTCTTGTTTATTTGACCTGTTGATACTAATTGTAATGCTTTTTTTGTTATTTAATGTTATTCAGGGTTATACCTGGTCTATATACCAGCTTTGATAAGTGTTTGGTATTACTATAAATTTTCACTTCTTCGTTATATGAACATCAAAATTATTTATTTTGTAAAAATATTTCCTTTCTTTATTTGAACTGTACACATATACCTAACAACAAAGTTATTTTCATTTACCTGTGTTTATAGTAATTGCAAATGGCTGATATTTTTTTTCAAACATGTTGTTTTTATTAAATTGTTTAACATTTCACAACGGTATAACATGTTACTTTTATTATTCTTCCCTTAGTTTATTTATTTTGTATTTACATTGTATCATAGATCAAATTTATTTGTTCAGTGTATGTTAACTGGTGTTTAGATGTCTTTTGATTGAGTTAAGCAATATCAATTGAAATTTTATAGTGTGTCTTTCTATGTTGTGATGTAACACTATTGTTTCAGATAAGGGTAAAGGTTTGGTACCATTTAAACGTTTAAACCCGCTGCAATTGTTTGCACCTGTCCTGAATCAGGATCTGATGCTCAGTAGTTTTCGTTTGTTGATGTGGTTCATTTTGTATTTAAATTGTATCATAGATCGAATTTATTCGTTCAGTGTATGTTCACTTGTGTTAATATGTCTTTTGATTGAGTTAAGCCATTTCAATTGATATTTAATAGTGTGTCTTTCTATGTTGTGATGTTACACTATTGTTTCAGATAAGGGGGAAGATTGGTACCTATTTAAACGTTTAAACCTGCTGCATTTGTTTGCACATGTCCTAAGTCAGGAATCTGATGTTCAGTAGTTGTCGTTTGTTGATGTGGTTCATAAGTGTTTCTCGTTTCTCGTTTGTTATATAGATTAGACCGTTGGTTTTCCTGTTTGAATGGTTTTACACTAGTAATTTTTAAGGCCCTTTATAACTTGCTGTTCGGTGTGAGCCAAGGCTCCGTGTTGAAGACCGTACTTTGACCTATAATGGTTTACTTTTATAAATTTCGACTTGGATGGAGGGTTGTCTCATTGGCACTCATACCACATCTTCTTATATCTCTCCGCACACCTAGCAACTAGCATTTTAGGCATGGATCAATGATGATCATTAAGCGCATTAATTATCATTCGTCTTAACCGATTGCACTGTAATGCACGATGTATAAACATGTAAATGACAACAAAGTATTTGTACAGCACGCTTTTACCGTTACCGTTATATATGTATTTATGCATGAATTGATGGGTTAGTGTCGTGTTCTTTTGTGTGTTGATATGAGTTTTTAGTGGGTGCGGTTGTACTTTTGTATATAGCGCATTAGCCATCCTACTACGTAGGAGTCAGTGCGCCAATATAGAACGGCGATTCATACCTGTAGAAATAAAGAAAGTATTAAAATAAACCACGCCTACTAATCCCATATTAAATATACACGGTCTCCACGCGGTCGCTTTTAATTAATGATATTCCTAGAAATGTATAGGAAATAAGATAACGATTGATATTATTGTTTTTTAAATTGTTTAACATCTCACAGCGGTATACTACTGTTGCCTTTATTTATTCGCCCCTTATGTTATTGATTTTGTATTTACATTGTATCATAGATCGAATTTATTCGTTCAGTGTATGTTCACTTGTGTTTATATGTCTTTTGATTGAGTTAAGCCATTTCAATTGATATTTTATAGTGTGTCTTTCTATGTTGTGATGTCACACTATTGTTTCAGATAAGGGGGAAGGTTGGTACCTATTTAAACGTTTAAACCTGCTGCATTTGTTTGCACCTGTCCTAAGTCAGGAATCTGATGTTCAGTAGTTGTCGTTTGTTGATGTGGTTCATAAGTGTTTCTCGTTTCTCGTTTTTTATATAGATTAGACCGTTGGTTTTCCCGGTTGAATGGTTTTACACTAGTCATTTTTGAGCCCTTTATAGCTTGCTGTTCGGTGTGAGAAAAGGCTCCGTGTTGAAGACTGTACTTTGACCTATAATGGTTTACTTTTACAAATTATGACTTGGATGGAGAGTTGTCTCATTGGCACTCATACCACATCTTCTTTTATCTAATGACGAAATGTGAAACGATTCAAATGAGAAAACCAACGATCTGGTTTATTCCAAAAACTATAAACGAAAATCTATCACGGCAAAGAAGTCACAACAAGCATTATGTACTCGACTTTATGCCAGTTTTGTTTAACCTTTTTGATGTGATTTTTAATCATTATGGTATCTGTCTTAGATTTAACTATGATGACAAGACACGATGTTTTGTCGTTATTTTTGTATATATTGATTTTATAAAAAAAAATTTGGTATGATTGTCAATAGGAAAACTATTCACCAAAGTTCAAATGAAGTGGATGTAAGCAATTATTGGCAATCGTACAGCCTTCAACAATAAAAAATACACATACCGTATAGTCGGTCATATAAGGCCCTGACATTTGCCTTTTTTCATAATTGTTGGGGCTTAATATTCGGTGGTCTATTTACAACACCATACAATTAATATCAAATAGCAGGAAATCCCATTCCAAACTTTATTTTAAAAATGATGCATCTTTTAATTAGGGAATGCCAAAATACTGGCAAAAAATATTATGACTGTTAATTAAACTAGAAGTCTGACGTCCGAATTGTATTAGATCGATTTGGTAGACTATTGTTCAAGGGTATAATTGAAATCCACCATCGATAATGTTGATATTCCCGGTAATGTATGATGCTTCATCTGACGCCAAAAAGAGTAAGAGGGATACAACGTCTTCTAGTTTTCCGGCCCTTTTTAGGTGTGCTTGTTTTGCTGACTCGTCTGCATACTATAAAGAAGTAATAGAAGAAAGTAATTTTAGACATTGAAATACAAGATGCAAAGATATCGAAATTGGTTGACATGAATTTCGGAAATAATCTGCTTCTGGTACGTTCGAGACGTAATGCTTTGAAAGCCAAAATTGAAAATATTTGTTCGCATATCGACCAAAAAAAGTCAAAACACCAAAATTCCGTTTAGGTCATTTCTTTCATAGGGTATTGCAATAACAACATTCACGGTACAAATTACAATGTACCTGACACCATATTCACATTTCGACAACTAATGCCTCTTCAGTGAAACATAAGGCCAACATATGTAAAAAAACAAACACCTTATACAAAAGCTGAAGGGCTAATAAAAAAAAAATAAAAGTCATCCAAAACCTGGACAAAGAATCATATCTATTTCAAGAGTTAATTACAGCGATATCGACTCCAAGGTCGACTCTATTCATAATTTATTGACGAAACAATATGTGCATACAACCTTCTTTTGGTCTTCATCTGTAGCCTTCAAAGCACTATTACGAAGAATATTGGTATCATCAATGAAGCCAGGACTACAATTTGGTAATAGAATACAATAAAGTTACACATGTACGATAAACTAATTAAACATAAATAAACAATGAATATTATAATAGATTATATTTAAACATAAGAAAGCATATATCAAAAAAGAAACAAAACTAAGAAATACAATGACAAAAGTTGGCATTTGCTATAATAGTTATTTTATCATTGTCATCATATTTAATCAAATTTTAATATCTTTCCTTCGTTACCTCCCTTAAAAATATAACATGTGCAAACTTGGAGGGGAAAGTTTTTTCATCTTCCAGGCGCATTCAGAATGTGGTGGGGTTAACATGTTTGTATGAACTGGGACACTGAGGTAACAGAACATCATTAGAACAAACGTAAATATCAGTTGGAAATAGCCTGACTCAGTAGATCGGTATAAAGCTGAATGCAACTAACATCATGTTAAAAGAAACATAGAACCAGAGTATTGGAGTAATTTGAAGCTAGTTATTAGACCAATGTTAACTAAGAAATAAAGACCATGTTTTTTAGACTAAAGACTAATCATTGCATCTTTAAAGGATTTAGTGTAAAGACGTCATAAGCATTCTGAGAAAATCATGACATCGTGTTGTTCAAAAATATAATTATTGACATGATGCAGGCCCATAACTCGATAACAATATTTGTCTAGTTATGTATTAATCTCTTTAAAATAAAATCAATGTTACATATAGTACCGAGAAAGACAATTTTCAAAGACCAGTTGACCGCTGTCAGGTTGTCATGTGCACCTAATACATGTAACAACCATTTTATAGACCAAGTACCGATGGATTATTAATCATAATAAATGAGAAACTGACTTAAATGATATCTTTAAAACGTTATTCACTGATCCGTAAAAAGAGGTAAGACCAGCTCGCTAGTCATGTCACGGACACACTCCATACAACGGCCATTCGCCATAGAGAAAACTTCAAGCAATTAAAAAGTTCTAAAAATAACCTGCTAAAGTCCAGTTTAAAATTACAGACATTTAGACAATTTTAGATTAGATTTCTTTGCAGAATGCTGGACAATGCATGACAAACTGTAGTCTCTGTCTATTAAAAGCAAATAGCAAAAGCATTGTGTATTGAAAGCACATCTACTCTATTAAATAATTTTAAAAAATCTGTCACTGAAGGCTAAGGGACCAACTGTTAATTGATTACAAATCAAGTTACTTGGTAACAACGTTCTAGGTCCTACATCATCCACTAATTAGAACTTACTTGATAGCATTCACTCTAACACCGTGAGGACCTAATTCTGAAAGAAATTAATTTAATCAATATTTTTTTTTCAATGATTTGTTTATAAACTGTATAGATAAAGTGAAGCCCGTTATATTTTTCTAGATACAATCCTGTGTTTTAAACATGTGAATAGAGCTTAACACATTTTGAGAAAGAAGGGGGAGTGTTTCAACAATGATTATGAACGTAAGATACCAATAATTTGGTGTACAGACAGACACAACCAGGGAAGAATATGTTTAAAACATTATTGCACAACGTATTTAAATAAACGTTAGATTAGAAAAAAATGGAAAGATGCAAAAAAGATAAAAATGATATTAAGCACTGTACCATCCCAAAAGAAATTTGTTAAAAGTCTTTTTATTTTGAAATAGTCAATGCAATCAATTACAAGTCAGAAAATTTTACAATGATTTTGATTGGTTGACGATTCCGGCAATTCCTGCCTTTAAATCTTTCATCTTGAAATATTACTGTACAATAAATATCTTTTACCTTTGGCTAGACATTTTGTAAGCATATCAATAGCTACTTTTGCCATGCAGTAAACTACTATGTCCGGTTGCTGAAAAACATAAAAACATTTTATTTTTATTTACATTGTATTTTTTCATTACAAATGTATATTACAATTTAAGTAATCAAGTTTCTAAGGGGTAAAATATGTAATGCATTCCAAATGTGCTTTTATGATAGTTTCTATGATTTCAAAACATTGTGGCTTTCTTTTTATCTTTTAAGTGCAAAATTAATATATGTTTGACCACCCAAGAAAACTGCTTTCCTGTTCAGATGGCAATTAAACAGAATGCACTTGCATACAAATTATTGTTGAAGACAGTACGGTATATTGACATATGAATGTTTGTGTTGTGTTGTTGAGTGCCGTTTCAATTAACACAGTGTTCAAACGGAACTGTACGATTTCATTTTTATTTTGATAAGGTCAGATTTGAAGTATGCATAACCTATTAAACTGTAAATTAAATATACTTACCGGTATTGTGGATCTGATACTTGACATGAAGATTATATTACCTACATTGAAAATTTTAATTACTTAAAAGTATGTTTAGATTCATACGCCGTCTCTTATGATTGTATGTATTAAAAAGAGGCGAATTTGTTTACATAAAAGTTTGCATATACATGCTGAATTCCATATTTATTATTACAAAATGTATATTCATTTAGATTTTTGATGCATTCAACATGAAAGTAACCCTATAATGTATCTTAACAATTTTTGTTGCAGTCTTCTGAAAGTATGAAATTGTGCCAATACTTAATTCTGCCTCTTATACCTCTCCTTGGTTTTTTTAATTTGTTCTAGCAAATTCCATTGTTACGTCGTCTCTCGATTGCTATAGTTTCACTTTAGACTGGTTATTAGCAAACACGTAAGTTTACTGAACCCTATATTCTTAAAAAACGTTTTCTCATAGTCAAATTCAATTAAAAGTACCATTCCCTATATTTTCCCCTTATACCAACACACCTTTTGTTTTAGATGAGGCAAGCATAGTTGTGCCAGAGAGAATTTAATTTTCTCTCATACAAACAATATTTTGATTCTTTGAGATAAGGCAAGCATAGTTGTGACAAAGAGTATTTAGTTTTCACTCATACTAACAAAACTTTTGTTTCTTTGAGACAAGGTAAGCATAGTCGTGATAGAAATATTTTAGTGTTCCTTCATACCAACAAACCTTTTGTTTCTTTGAGATAGGGTAAGCATAGCTGTGCCATGAATAATTTCGCCTTCTGGTTCACATTGACGAATCTGTCGTAATCCTCTTCCTTAGTGTTACTTACATTTGAAAACATAACATAGCCTGCAATATCAGCCTGAAACGTATGCCAATAGAGTTTCCAATTTAAAAAAAAAAAGAAATACAAATTGAACAAAATCTGTCCAAGGTCAAAGGTCAATAAAAACTTAATTGCGTCTATTTTTCTATCAGCAAGTTGATACCGTATCATTGCTTATGTATGGCAATATGAATCGCACATACTATCTTGTCTTGTTTTGCTTTGATTGCCAAACCCTCAACGTTTTGCTGATAAATGATAACACTTCTTTGTACATACAGAAATTGTTGCAGTCCACAAACGATCTAATCTCTCATTTCTTTAGAGAAACAAAGGTTATCTGTCCTGATACTACTATAGGGCTACATCTAAGCTTAACTTCTTTATCATGTATCAATCATTCACAACATCGTGGATGATAATTCATAATAAAATATGGTTATATGTATATAAAGGAGAAGGTGCATCCGTTCCGCATGTAAATATTTTTCCTAGATTACCTCCAATGGTTATATAGATACTGTGAGAACACATCATGAGATCACACCACCTTGTTCTAAGTGAACAAATGTCGTTGATAATAATGGGAATTAAGATGTTTTTTTATGATTGATTGATTTGTGATTAAAGTCGCTTTCAGCAATATAGTGCTATACAGTGGCAATCAGGTTTATTTTGGTGGCGGAAACCGGAGTGTCCGGAGAGAACCACTGACCTTCGGTAGGAAAACTAACAATCCTAGTTAATTTGAATTGGAGTCGAGTATCTGCCGCGTGCAGGAGTCGAACTCAAAATCTCAGTGTTGACAGATTAGTCGGCTACTTAGACCACTCGACCACCGAGGCCGTGAGTTTGTTTACGTGACATGAGGTTGGTTATACATGTAGAACATGTTAATTCTAAATCGTATTCTTTCAAACTCTGTCTAGACGATTAATGATAAAAATTTTGGAACATTTTGATACGGTTCCGCATACACAACTTTGTTTTAATTTACTGGCTGTCGATTCGATTTTATTAGGTTTCTGTCTCGTAGGTGGTTATTTCATATTTTCCTGTATAATGATGCACAAAAGGGTATATTCACTACATACCAGTAAAAGTCTGAAGTGGCCTATATCTGTACTCGACTGATTTTTACTCGACCAGTCTGAATTGGTCTGAAATTTACTTGAAAATACTCGACTGTAGTTTGAACCATACTTAACAGTATGAACTTGTACTCGACCTTTACTCGACCAGTACTTAACCATTTTATATGCGTCTGAGCCATGCTCGACCTAGTCTGAACCATGCTCGACCTAGTCTGAACCATATTCGACCTAGTCTGAACCATACTCGACCTAGTCTGAACCATACTCGACCAAGTCTTAACCAACCTAGACCTATTTTTGTATCTATCTATTGTATTTTATCAATTTAGTAACTGTTTTTAACAACAGCTATTTCCCCTGGCTAGAAATTTGAACAACAATTTGAAATTAAAAATGTATTTAATAAACCATTGAAACCAAAATTTCACAATAAGCATAATATAACGTCAACACCATATTCATCAACACTTACATATATCATGTATATACATCATCTTTAAAATAAAAATAAAACATGCTGATCAAATAATCTCAAAACTGAATAATCGTGACCAATATTTTCTATGTTATTCAAACATTTTTGAATGTTTCAGATATATTTTATGGTTACTAGACAATTTTCACCATTAAATTAAGCCTAGTATAGATTTATGGTGTCAGTTGAGTTTAGTTAATAATGCAGTGAACATTTTATTTATGAAAATATATATAATTAGTATATAAAGCAACTTAATAAATCTAAAAAATGACACCTCTGTTTTGTTAAACCAAGAATTTAATATAATTATGATAATAGAACTTCCATAGCAATCCTTGATAACCTTTTAAGAAAGGAAATGTGTTCCAAAGTTACAGTAAAAATTTATTTTATTTAAATCTAAATAGTTTTTGACATGGAATCCAAGAAGCACTTTTATAAGGTTTTATTACCTCAGTACATGTGTGTTTTACAGGTAATAAGAAAGCCCTATTTTTCTTAAACTCGTGTATTACTTATCTAGTGAATTCAATAGGCCTTGCCATTTAAGTTAAACAACAGAGTTCTAGTTAAACAGGATGTTGCAATTTTGAATGAATGTTATTTAGAATTTAATACTCTCTGACCAGGTGTGATCTTTTTAATGAGTTTGCTCCAACCAGGAGGTATTACTTTATACTTCACCACTAATCAGAAGAAAAATTTTATTAATTTCTCTAATTTTTTATCCCTTTTTGATATATATTATATATAATATATCAAAATTATAATAATAGATATATTTCTAATATAAGGTTAAACAATTTCAGTGGTTTTTTTTTTGGCTGTTGTTACCTCATTAAAAAGATAATTATATAACTATTGTATGTAACCATGAAACCTATGTATTTTTTATTTAGGAATTTAGGAAACCTAAGTTAAAATTAAAAAAAAAACACATGCCAAACAAGAAGTACCTTAATTACTCTCAGTATAGGTGTTGTTTTTAGGTAAAAGAACATCTTTTTTTTAACAAAACTCTAAAAATTTAAACCTAATATAATTAAATTATTATATAAGATAATTTGATTTAACTATCTCTATTTGATAAATCTGAGAATCATGTAAGGATGTAAATAACTGTTTTTATATATATCTTTATTTTATTAGGGTTGTTGTCATATCAGTTAAAAAGAAATTTATTTTAACAGTTAAAATTGAAAAAACAAGTAGAGGTTATTTGGTCAAGTATGGTTCAGACTGGTCGAGTATTGTTCAGACCTTTAGTCGAATATGGTTTAGACTGAAAAAATAAGTCGAGTACAGGTCGAGAATGGGTTAAGACTGTTTCAGACTGGTCAAGTAATAGTTCAGACTATTTTCAATGGCAAAGATAAGGGTCAAGTACAAATCAGTACTATCGAGTATGGTTAAGACTGGGGTCGAGTAAAATCAAGTAAAATTCAGACCAATTCAGACTGGTCGAGGAAATCAATACAGTCGAGTACAGATATAGGCCATTTCAGACTTTTACTGGTTTGTAGTGATTTAGATTATATAAAACAAACCAATATATCCAATCTTCCAAATTTCTGTATCAGGATCTTTACAATTTCTTCCCTGAAGGCAGATTGAGATAAGTCACCACTGCAATATGCTATCTAAGAAGAAAATATAATCATAAGACTTAATATTATTAATTCGTATATTTTAACTAATTTGATTCGTTCAGAGATAGTCACATGTTCAACTATATTTTCGAAGGTAGAGAGAAAACGGCGGATAGCAAAAAGCATATTGCACAGCAAAAAGCAGATTGCACGGTTATCTTTAGAATATCTAAAAACCGATATACTTTGTGACGTCATGTAATGAATTTCATGATATTGTTAAAAGCTTTATAAAAATATCTATGATCGATTATTTGAAGAAAAAAAATCTTCATATACATAAGATGTAAAAAAAAATGTAAATGAAATAACAACTTAAATGTTGTTATTGTCTAGGAGACAATATGATATCTATAAAATTCCAACAAAATCAAAAAATCAAATCAGTCGGAAATTAATAATATAACAATTATAGCCTATTGATGAGGTCAATACAGGATATATCGACCCAAAGAAGTATATCGACCTCGGACTTCGTCCTCAGTCCATATACTTCTTTCAGGTCGATATATCCTTGTATCGACCTCATACAAAGGCTATAATTGTATAGTATACATTTAATTGGATACTGTATCAGTATTTATATCAGAAATAAAGGTTATTTTCACTGAGATTATTAATGAATAAACCCGACCTACTTATATATTACTTGCAAACTAAATCTGGACTGCATGGTAATTTTTTTTGAACAACCTGAGTAAAACGCAATTAACTCAGTGAAAACAACCATTATTATTTAATATTCCAATACATGTTGAATGCACAAAATTTCACGTGAGCATTCACTATCCCACATTACGGGATTACATTTTAAGAAGGCACGCATTCATTTTACAAGTCGCACAGGTAAACTACATGTACAATGAATATAGATAATTCACGAATAAATGGAAGACAACTTTGAAAAAAATACAGAATAAATAAATTATAAAAATAAGAAGATGTGGTATGATTGCTAATGAGACAACTCTCCACAAGAGACCAAATGACACAGAAATTAGCACTTATACTATAAGTCATTTAAGAAAGTTATAGGATTCGTTCATCAGAATTAAATCGAAGGGTAACCCATAAGAAAAACTGAGTACTCGATGGAGAGGATCCAAAAATACCAGAATGTTGACAAGGATCGTAGTCATTATCTAATAGTGCAAATGTAATGCGTCGAATGTCACACAACTTCGTCGATTAATGTAGGTCTTTTCTAGCAGCAGATTCGTTTTCAAAAAATATTCGCCAGATGCCACGATCTCTCTGTTAACCAATCAACGCTCTTGTCGGTACTTTATCATGTATTGCTTAACTGTAAACGTCTTCGTGTATCAGAAAGGAGCGATTTCCCTTAGAATCTGCAGGGTTCTCCCCCAAAACGTGTTCTTTAAAGAGAAATATAGATTTTGCTTGACCTATATTATATTCATCTTGCTTGTTGTTGTTGCCACCATTAACTGCTTCAGCATAGAAGGCAGCCATGCTTTTTCCCTTGTCTGGATTTTGTTTTTCCGTATACACATCAATATTTACTATTTATTGTCTTACAAAATTGTAAAATATGAAGTATTGGAACTTCTATCGTTTCCAACATATACCTATTTTATACCATTAATCAGTATTCATCTTTAGAATATAAAATTTCCAACGGAGCTATGAAACACCAGTCACCTTATTTCAAGGGCCACAACTCTTCTAATCACCTTCACATTATAATTATTTACAAAGGGCTTTTCAAGATAAGCATACACTTAAATTTTAAAAACAAAGCCGACATTTTTGGAATCCAGGTTATTTAATGATCTCTTGCAACCGATATAAAAATGTTTTAAGAGGTCAAAAATTGTTGAAATTTGAGCTCAGGTTATCCTAAACTTCCGAATCTACGGAACGCTCTTTTATGTAATTATATATATCAAGTGAGATAACTCCATTCTAGACAGATTTTTTATTACGTATTCTAGACAGATTTTTCATTACGTATTTTAGACAGATTTTTTACTACGTTATACAATGTTATACAATCGAAGATGGCTGGAGATACTAAAAATAAACCAGAAACTAAAACAAACTACCTACAATTTATTCTTTTGGCATATGGTGCATTTTCAAATAATGGGCAACTCCGTAATGCTTTAAAATCGATACTGGATATTGAAGTTGTTACACATATGTTCTGCTACTTTAGTCTTCCAAGAATAAAACATACGTTTCATTTCCAGGTAAATATTACAACATTTTACACGTGTTTGACACTTTACATAGTTCCATATCGAATGTCTTCTACTTCTACTCCTACTTCCACCGGTTAGTGACCACCGTCATCATGTTGACTATTCTGTCACTTTTGGGTCTGCGCAAATATAATTTTGAATACAATAACAAAAAAGGGTGCTATACAAATATTTAACACTGGTGATTAAAAACAGGGGCTATCGATTTATTTGTTAGTCAGGAGCCTCTTGAAAGATTCAAGGCTGCTGACAGATGTAACTGAGGTGGGTAAAGCATTCCAATCCCTGATAGTCCTAGGGTAGAATGACTCTTTCCTTGTTGTTGTGTTACCTTGTGGGATCTGGAAAGAGTTTGTGCCCATATTTCTTGAGATCCCGTCCGGTGGTACGAGTTTGTGGCTTGCTGCAACGTTGATCTCCTGGTTGTTGATCTTATACAGCATTGATAAACGTGCGTTTTTCTATCTATCCCCTAATGGTGTCCACTTTAGTTGTTGAACATATCAGTAACGGGTGATCTGTTTCTGTACCGGTTTGTTACATGTCTGGCCGATCTCCTTTGTACCATTTCTAATTTTTGAAGGTGTGGATCCCATAGAGCGCTGGCATACTCGACTGTTGGTCTAACGAGGGAGATGTAGGCCTTTTTTTCATATCGCTGTTGGAGATATAGAGGTTTCTTTTGAGAAATCCGATTGTTTTATTTGCCTTGGCACAGATGTTTCTGATATGGTTTTCCCATTTAAGGTCTGATGTTATAGTTACCCCTAAATATTTTGCAGATGTTACGTGCACTAAAGTGTGGCTATGTAAAAGATAATACTTTATAATAGGTGTTCTGTTCTTTGTTACTGATAGTACCTGGCATTTATCTTGATGAAATTTCATCATCCATTTTTCTTCCCAGACAGCACACATGTCTTAATCTTCCTGTAGGGTATTATCATCCGATGTTACTGTGATGTATGCAATGGTGTCATCTGTAAATAGTCTCACGGTGGATTTGATGTTTTCTGGCATGTCGTTGATATAGAAGAGGAAGAGGCTGGGTCCTAGCACATATCCTTGTGGTACCCCAGACTCTACATTGACGGAGTAAGATGTTTCCCCTTCTATTAGTACTCGCTGGGTTCTCTCACATAGGAAGCTTTTAATCCAGTTGTTTGTTTTTCCTGTTATTCCATAGTGTTGGAGCTAGTGTGTGAGTAGACTAAGGCTGACCTTGTCAAATGCCTTCGAAAAGTCCATGATTAGGCAGTCAGTTTGTTGGCCACTATCAATGTTTATTGGTGATGTCGTCGATGAATTCTATCAGCTGGGTTTCACATGATAGTTTCTTCCGAAATCAATGTTGGAGGTCATACAGGATGTTGTTGTTATCTGAATGGCACATGCTATGGCTGGTTACTATATGCTCCATTCTCTTACAACATTTACAGGTTAATGATATTGGTCAGTAGTTGATTGGTTCAAACGTTTTCCCTTTTTTGAATACTGGACAAACGTTTGCTGTTTTCCATAATGATGGTACCACTCCTGTGTCATATGATCTCTTAAAGACAAGTTGGAGTATCGGAACTATTTCATTGGCTAGTTCTTTAAGAATCATAGGGGAGATGTTATCTGGACCCGCAGCTTTATGAGGATTTAGACCATTTAGTAGTTTCTTTATTCCTTCTTGTGTGATGGTAATATCAGGTGCTGTGGGGTTTTGGCCAGATATGTTGCATCTTTCCTTAAATTCTGTATTGTTAATGTTATTTTTACTTGAAAATGCTTCCTGGAACTGTGCATATAAGATGTTGGCTTTGTCAGTTGAGTCGTCGTGTAGTAGACCTGCTTATTTAAGAGGTGGTATGCTACTCCCATCTGACCGTTTATGCTTAATGTACGTCCAGAATCTTTTCATGCAGTCAGTACCTCTGTCCGACTCAGAATTATATTATAATAATAATATAGCAGTATCTTTATTTTTTAGAACTAAAGTTGTATTATTGGATAGGTGCAAATGACATTCAGAAAAAGGGATCATGGAAGTTGGAGTCTGACCAAGCGTCCCTAAACTTCAGTTTATGCGGCCCAGAAGAACCGAATGATAGCCAGGGCATCGAATTTGTGCTCAGATCTGGATATTGGAGACAGGTGGATGGAATGACAATGTTTGCAAAAATGCATTTTCCTACATTTGTGAAAAACCTTAATCTAATAAATTTTATTCTATTTAATCTTTTGTTTATGTATATGATTATTTGTTTTGTATAGTGTTATAACAAAGAAGAAAGAAAACTAAAATGTTTATCTTTGTGTGAAATTAGGAAGTAAAATGGTCACTGTCACACTTGGACAACTCTTTTATATGTAATAATGTGAATGTGTCGTACAAATGTTATTTTTTTCCATGTATTCTATTTAATTTCATCTGTTTCTACGCATGCGTATTTTTATTTGCACTTTTGTGAACGATTGATTCCTGCACTTTGTTGTGCAGAATGTTCATTTTCAAAATCATCCTGTCCACCCCAGACCTCTGAAAATCAAATGATTGTCCCCTAAGGAAAATTTGATTAAGACATTCATCTTATAGGTAAGTAGGAATTTTCCTTCAGGAAAACACGATGATCCAGTCAAGGAAATACATTGAGTATTAAAATTGAGAATGGAAAGGGGAATATGTCAAAGAGACAACAACCCGACCAAAGTGCAGATAACAACCAATGGGTCTTCAATGCAGCGAGAAGATCCGAAAAATGAACGTCATTCTTAACTCCAAAATATATAAATGAACTAAAATTAAAAAAACATACAAGAGTAACGAAGGCCAGAGGCTCTTGACTTGGGACAGGCGCAAAAATAGTTTATACAAATATTATTCGAAACCTTCGCAACCAGATTTGAATACTGAATAGTATAATTTTGAAAAATTGAAATTTCGAAATTTTTGATAAAAGGAGGTGAAGGGTATACGCAATTAAGAAAGTATTTAATCGACAACAATCAGAACTAGATCTGCAAATGCTATAGCAATAGCGAATGGTACACTCGTTCACCAAATTGCCACTAAACTGCAGACATTTGGGATATTTTAAACAATGAATAGACATAAACATGATAAATACATTAATTTACTAGACTCCTGTCTGTATATTTTTTGAATGTTTTAACATTGTTCAATTTTGACATTTTTACTGTTTCCATGGTAACATTTTGAAAATTCCAAAGTCAAATTGCACATCTACATATACCAATCAATATTTGTGTGAAGTTTCATTTACTTTGGAACATTTTGATTTTTAGGACATTTTCGCTGTTTCCATGAAAAATGTTACCAACTTGAACCATCAAAAATTCACATGGCGGTCCTCATTATAGTATACTTCCGTCAACATTGGTCAATTAAAATCAGAAAAATGCGCGGACAAAAAAAATTGAAGTTAAATAATATGAAAAAAAAGGAAAGTAGAATAACAATATGTCTCCCTAACTCTTTATTTGATTCGGTCCATTTTGCTGTAGATTTAATTGGATCATTATTCTCTACTCTATAAAACCCACTCAGATCTCATGTCAAGTTTCTTTACAATATGCCAATGATTATATGTCAACCGACATATATTTGAATAAAAACGTGGTAGCTAACTGACCCGGAGTGCCCGATGTTTTGGGTTCTATTCTAAGCATTGTCGAATCAAAATATAAGCACACATCATAAAAGCGTACTGCAAAGACTGCATGGTCGTTGCGGACACAGAATAACACAAAAATAAGATGTGGTATGACTATCAATGAGTCAAGTCTCCACAAGAGAAAAAATGCCACAGACAAAGGTCACCAACGGCCTTCAACAATAAGTAAAACCCATACCACATAGTCAGTTATAAAAGGCACCGAAATGACAAATGTAAAACACATCAAACGAAAGAACTAGTGGCCTGATTTATGTAAAAAATATGGAACGGAAAACAAATACTAGTATGATATACAGCAACAAAAGAAAACCACTGAATTACAGGGTCCTGACTTAGGACAGGAACATATAGAATGTGGCGGGGTTAAACTTACTTGAAAGCTCCAACCATGTCCAGGTATGGTAATATATGTATTCACGAGCACTGTTATCTTGCAAACTAGCATGTCGGTTAAGAAAGAACCAAGCAAGGTCCATGTTCATATCTCATTGACATCTTCACGTCTTAATATGCATGTAACATTTGCCACTGGACGTTAAACGATATTCTATTCATCATTCAATCAAGGAATTTCAATGTGAGTCCATGAAACACTAGAAAACCAGATTGATGCTATTGAGGATGGAAATGGGGAGTGTGTCAAAGAGACAACAACCCGACCGAAGAGCAGAAATCAGTTGATGGCCGCCAATGCGTCTTCAGCACAGCGAGAAAATCCGGTACCCGAAGACGGGATTCAGCTTGCCCCTAAACAACAATGTGTACTAGTTCAGTGAAAATGGACGTCATAATAAACTCCAAATTAAAGTAAAATTAACAAAAACATACAAGACTAACAAAGGCCATTGGCTCCTGGCTTGGGACAGGCGGAAAAATGCGGCGGGGTTAAACATGTTTTGTGAGGTCTACATGTGATCACATTGTAATGATGATCTTGATAAATAAGCGACAAAATCATAATTACATCAATTACCATATACATTATTTAAATAGCTTACATTTTCTTTCACTAAACCCTTTTCCATGCATTTTTGTTGTACATTTTGCAATTTGTCCTCTTCAAGAGCCACTAGAAATAATCTTGCACCATGTTCTGCTAACTTTATAGCGGTGGCTTCTCCTATGCCAGAACTTGCTCCTGAAAGATCAATTTAAACATAATCTCCAGGTACGGAACCAACAGTGTTGAAAAGGGAAGGTTCCAACTACAGGAACACCATGACACGTTCACATAATTAAAACATGAATCAAAACATAAATAAATAAATCGAATAAGTGGGTTCCGACAGCCGAACTCTCCCCCTCAGGGTCTCAGAAAATCTCAACTATCCTGTTTTGCTAGTAACACCCGTCGTGTTGGTCCTGTTAATTTCGTTGGTAATCATATCTAGTGATAAGGTATCACACAATATCAGATTTATAAATTGGAGATCGATTCAGGTTTAATTTGTACTTCTGTTTTTGAATAAACAAATTACATGAGAACATTTAAACTAGAAATGAATTTCCCGCGTGATTTTGAATTTATGTGTCCTTGAATTTTTACGACAAGGTAATCATGCTTTATCGTCAAGAACGTTTCTCGAATATATAAAATAGTGGGAAATTAGTGCTTTCGGATAAAAAATAATGAAAAGTAAAACAAAATACATAGTATTACCATCAATCTGTTTTCAACTGAAAAATGTCGGTCGAAAAATTGTGCGAGATAACACAAAAGATCTAAAATCGATTACCTTGGCCTAATATGTTGATAACATATCGTATAATAGACCATGTACTCCTTGCACACGTTACCACACAGAGAAAACGCTGACCTTTATTTATTATTTTTATTTTGTCAATATCAAGTAGTGACTGTGATTTAATTGGAACACACTGCGTGTATATACATATACCATGGATCGTAAGGATAATTTGTCCTCTGTAATAAGTTTTTCTACCAAAATTGGAGCTAGAACCTCTTCTTTAATTTCTTTTGCTACCGAACATTGAGCTAGTTAGGGAGCGACCATTTAACTGCAAAAAGGGGGTTGTTTTTTTTTTTCCTTAAAAAATATTCCGATCTCCAATTTGATGAAGAAAAAAACTATTATGGTCAAGCAGATGACCAAAAAAAAAAATATTCTGAAGCCAGATTTCCCTCATACCTTATAGTGTTAAATTGGAAATTTAGAACCTCGTGAAATATTTGCATTTGACTTAAGCAAACACGATCAACCACTGAATATACTTGATACATTTTATAAATATGAGGTTTGATGTGATTGGCAAAAAGAAAATTATTCACACTTGACCAATTTGGATCATTGTACGTCCTTCACCAATGAGCAAAACCCGTACCATATATCAAACAATAAAGAAACCAATATGACTAAAAGAAAAATCAACGGCTGATTAATGCTGTTAACAATAGACGAAAATCGAATATGGCAGACACCATTCAATAATAGCAATTAATGAAAAGTTTAGTGAAGGCTTGAATTAATAAGTGGTGACGAAATCAATGACTTGATATGGGAAATATATATACACACGATACACAACAAAAGAAATGACAGAAAATTGTCTCGTCGCTTTTGGAGTAAATCTTAAACTTTGTACATAGTTTATTCATTTAACTGAGCTTCCCTTATAATTGACTAGTCGTTGTTTGAATAACGTCCAGTGGCAAACATTTCATCCATACCAATGCCGATCAACTAATAGTGAAACCGTTACAAGATAACTACATTTTTTATCAGATAGCGTTTTAAATCTTAATTTGAACAAACAATGTTGGTAATGGTCACTTGGGAGAATGCTGGTCGAGGTAGCAATCTTCATTGCAAATGTCATAAATTTTCCGTTAATTATTCGCAATACTCCACTGTATATGTTTGTGTAGTGTTACGTTACTATTTAATTTTGAGAAAGACGTCAGATATCAATTCGGTACCGGAAATTGAAATGCTGTGCAAGGAGGTGAAAATTGCAGAACAAAAAATAGTTATTTGCCTGTTAAATAACTCCCATTTATTTAGAAAGTTAAAATTGACAACAAGCCATATCATTTTTACTTCCAAAATTAAAAATGCTTGAATCAAAAATGAAATCGTTATAGTCAGACTTGTCTTTGAGTTATTTTTGTTGTTTGGTTGCTGTTTCAATGACATATACCCCATATCTCAGTCTTTTTATTCATTTGAAATTTTTACCTTTTAATGCAAAAGGAAATGTGTTTCATCATCTTATTATAATTTGTACTTCCTGTCACATATCAGTATTCATCATATATTATTGCACCTTTGTTAACCATGTTGTTCTAATGTAACTATGTTCACACTTTTATTGTTAATGTTGTACTAACATACCCCATGTGGGGGCTTTAGTGAAATAAAATGTCTTATGTCTTATGAAATGACTCTCATAACAGAAACAAATAACAATAGATATAAGCATTCTAATAAAGTTTTGTTTTAGGTCGTGATGTTTGGACTAAAGCAGTTTTTCATGTCAATTGAAATAAAACATGAAACCGGTGTGCAAGTTGCATCACTCATATCAGCGGCTAACAATTACTTCGGAAACCAGCAATATTTAAATTCAGGGTGAGATATGACAATGTTAGGAATCTCCAGTTGTACAATATTTGAGGGTCTGAATGGGGGTCTTTCATTTTTGTATTCTTCAATTTTTAGGCCATTTTTCTTTATACTTTTTGACCATTATTCTCTATTCTTTATATTTTAGCACCTGGTTATTCTCTATTCTTTATTCTCTTGGTCCATTTTTCTCTATTCTTTATATATATTTTCCCCTATTATTCTCTATTCTGTAAACCCCCATTCATACCCTCAAATTTAATATAAAACGAGTGTTCTGCTTTTTCAAAAGAGGTATTATCATAATTTTTGTAACATTTGTAACTAAACTAGAAGTACATTTCCCGAGTGATTTTGAATTGATGTCTCCTTGAATTTTTATGACAAGGTAACCATTATCACCAAGGACGTCTCTCGGTCAGTCCGTAAGTAATCTATTACTATGAAAAAATATATACACATAATTATGCATTATATAATATACAGCAAATGTAGTATTGTAACTTTCATTCATTCATAAATATTTATATAGTTCAAGAGTTCGCGCACGTGTTGTGTTGATAGACATAGCAGATAAGGTCGCGTCGTATTGCAATATGTATTTGTGTTGATTAGTTAACTCTAGCATTATATTAAAGTATGTTAACCAGTACACATGGCTTGTCTCTTAGTTTATATATATATAGGCTACCATATATATATTATATTTTCTTTTTTACTCATTTTTACATAAAAACTATGAACAGTGTAACTGATGATTGTTTTTTGTTTTCTAAATCACTTGTGGTAATCTGATCACTATTTATCTAAATGAATAAATAACATGACACAATTTGTACTCAAAATGCCACTTGAAAGATATGTTTTCAGCCACAATATAAAACAATATCAAAACATCTATAATCAATGTCATCCTTTCAATGTAACAAGTTATGTATGCAGTCCAACACTGAACTGACACTTTTTTGTATATAGGTTTTGTTTCATCTGATAAGGTTTTCAGCTACAGCAGATGCATAAAGAACAGTTCTTATCAGTTTAATATAAATGTGTAATAATATTATGTCAATTATATTTAGTTATTAAAAAAATAATATTCAACAATACATATTTTTCATATTTTGTTTCTTGTCTCTGGTTTCTGATTTCTGGTTTCTTGGTTTCTGGTTTTGCTATTTACACATTCCCAGGTACAAATGTATCTTGTTTTAGAAACCCTAACAAGTCTAACCGCAAAATCCGTCATACCACTACTTGATAAAACTTTCTCAATTTTTGGAATACCAAAGGAACTGAAAACAGACAACGGACCTCCGTTTAATTCACAAGAATTCCGAAATTTTGCAGATAACATGGGTTTTAAGCACCGCAAATTCACTCCGTTATGGCCCCGCGCTAACGCTGAAAGTGAACGATTTATGAGAGCAATAGGGTAAGCAATTCGTGCAGCTCAAACGGAACATCGTAGCTGGAAGCAAGAAATACACACATTTCTTCGCAACTATAGAACAACACCACATGCAACAACTAAAGTGTCACCAGCAGAACTTTTATTTGGAAGGAAAATTAATACTATATGCCGAACATTTCAATAAATGATCAAGCCGAGAGTGAAGTACGAAAAGACGATCACAGAAACAAAAGTAAAATGAAGTTATATTTCGAGAAAAAAACCTTCAATTAAAGTACCTGATTTTACAGTAGGAGATACCGTCCTAGTTAAACAAGAAAAGAAGGATAAACTGTCTACCCCGTACAATCCTCAACCATTAACAATTAAGAATAAAAAGGGTAGTATGATTACGAAAACGAACGAACAACATAAAGATATTACTCGAAATTCGTCACACTTCAAACAGATTGGGAAATCTGATGAGGAAATAGAAGAAATTATTGATGATGACATTATACCATACACATCATTGAGAAGATCATCTCGAGAAAAACGAACACCGAAACATCTCAACGATTATGTGCGTTAAAGAGCTGTGTTACAGGCATAATAATCCTGTGCTCTTTCTGATGTATCAGTTAGGTTTGATGTTGATTTATATGTTTGTGAATTTATGATACAAATCAATTTGTGGAATTTACTATTCACACTCGTCATGATAGCCTTATCAGATTGATCAGATGATCCACTAATTATATTGACATTATAGTACGCGTACCGAATAATTTACATTTATCACAGACTATAAAGTTCTAATTTTCTATTGATATCATTTTACGCTTCTTATTACTTTATTTGTTTACACAGACAGTCAAAGATTTTATGACTACACAGACAGTCAAAGATTTTATGACTACACAGACAGTCAAAGATGTTATGACTACACAGATAGTCAAAGATTTTATGACTACACAGACAGTCAAAGATTTTATGACTACACAGACAGTAATATATATAGATTCTTACATTGATACTAGTGGATTATCGGATTTATCCAATCGAGATAGTTAAATTATCAATTTTAAAGTCCGAGCCTCGGCGAGGACTTTAAAATTTATAATTTAACTATCGAGATTGGATAAATCCGATAATCCACGAGTAACTGTGTAAGAATATGTTTCTCTAATGATTAAAAAATAAATTTTCCTTTTTTGCTAAACTAAAATCCCCTTCGAGTGCCTTCCACTTTACATAAAGTTGTCAATTTCATTAACACCTGTTAGCATATTTTGATGCATCCAGTGAGCTGAGAAAGGTTATGACCCTTAAACTCATCCAATCATCTTCTGAGATCACTGGCAACCACACGTTGATTAAATTTTTTTATACAATGGGTTCGAAAAGGGATAAATTTCCATAGAATTAGACAAAATTAGTTAAAGTAGAACTTTAATCTGAGAAAGGAAGAGATGTAGTATTGTAACTTTCATTCATTCATAAATATTTATATAGTTCAAGAGTTCACGCACGTGTTCTGTTGATAGACATAGCAGATAATGACGCGTCGTATTGCAATATGTATTTGTGTTGATTAGTTAACTCTAGCATTATATTAAAGTATGTTAACCAGTACACATGGCTTGTCTCTTAGTTAATATATATAGGCTACCAACGTTACAGAAAATTTGATGATTTTCACATATTATAGAAAACTATGGCATATGAGTGTCTCAGTATTAGTTAGAGTTTAAACGGATAACAAAACATGATTCCTACCTGTTACAAGGACAACTTTTTCTCTGAAGTTAGCCATGTTTTACCGTCAGAAATTATCCCAGATAATACAAAAGATCTAAAAAAGATTACCTTGGCCCTAATCTAGATAACGTATCATATTCATAAACCATGCACATTGATGTTACTATATATATATAGAAACCCTACTTAAATGACACCGGCGTTTATTTTCATTTTGTCAATATCAAGGAGCAATTTATCTGGAACACAGTGCGTATACAAATATACCATGGCTCGTAAGAATATCTTCTGTAATAATTTTTGCTACCAGACGTGCAGCTAGAACCTCGATCTTCTGTAATTAATTTTGATACCGAACGTGGGGCTAGAATCTCTTCTGTAATAAATCTGGTTAACGGACATGGCACTAGAACCTCTGTTGTAATAAATATTGATACCGCGGAAGGGATGCTAAAACCTCTGCCGTAATTAATATTGATACCAAACCTGGAGCTGTATATAGAATAGAAGCTCATATGTCATAAATCTTGATACCGGTCGTGGAGCTAGTACCTCATAAAATATTTGCCATTGGACTTTAAGCAAACACAATGATGTGATTGCCAATGAGAAAACTATGCACACTAGACCAATACAGGTCATTGTATGGCCTTCAACAATGAGCAAAAACCGTACCATATATTAAACTAGAAAGGCCGGTATGACAAATGTGAAACAATTCAAAAGAGAAAATCAACGGCCTGATTGATGCTATAAACAATAGACGAAAAACAAATATGGCAGACACCATTCAATGGCAATCTATGAAAGTCAGGCTCCTGACTTGGAACATGTAGACATATAAAAAATTTGACGGGATAAAATAATTCTCTCGTAACCTAGAACATAAGTGTAACAGTAAAAAATATAAGAACAAATTATAAAATAATTTGAAAGGGTTTGACTGAAAGATCGGAACAAAATAAATAGAAAAAATAATACAAAGTACCGATTAAAGAGTGCTTGCAGTCACTGAAAGCTATTTGAAATCAAATTTCAACTTATAAATAAACCATCATGATGTTAACACGGGGAAATTTCACTCACGTGAATCTCACGTGAATTTAACATGAAAATCACGGGATTTTTTTTTTTCACGTGAATTTTCAAAGTAAATGTATTCAAATAACATATAAATTTTCAAATTTTACTTAAATCATGAAAAATGCTAGTTTTTTTTTTTTTGTGTCAAAAAATTCACGTGAAAATGTTCACGAGAGTTTCACGTATACATAAGCTCGTTTGAGGTCAATTCCATGTGAGATTTGTGTGATATTCACGTTAGTAATATTTGCCAGTGTACCCAGACTCAAATACCCATCAGTACAAGTTCAACGAACTTAGTGTAAAGACGCCACTAACTGTCTGAGAAAAAAATATTAATCTTGCGCAATGCCAAAATATAAGTATCGACAGACACTACAAAAGTCTAAAAGTCTGAAAAGACCAGTTTTTGTCTTAATTTGCACGAACTTTTACTCGACATTCTCCAAAAGTATGACTTGTGTCTTAATTTTTCTTGACAAATTCTCATTTATATTAAATTTGTATGAAATTTACTTGACATATTCTCGACATTCTGAATATGGTCTTAAAATTTCTTGACAAATTCTTGACATTTGAATACTGTCTTGAAATTTCTCGACATATTCTCGACATTCTTATTTTTTCTCAGTATGGCTTGACATATTCTGAACATTTTGAATCGTGTCTTAAATTTACTTGACAGGTCTGAGTTTTACAAATCATGACCAATATTCATAATATAACTTTAATCTTTATTTCTCTTTATATGATATACTGTTATTTCAAGTTACACTTCTTTACAACAAAAATAAAAGTTGGGCATGTAAAATAATTGAAAATTTGGGTACATAAATATTTTTACAAATGCAAATATGGCTATGAAATCTAAAGTATAAAATAATTCAAATGTGGGTGTGTTGATATAAAACAATTTCAATGTGGGTTTTTAAATAATTACAAATTTTGATTCCTAAATCTTATAAATTAAATGATTCAAACCAATCATACTACAGACATATTTCATTCTACATTCATAATATTCAATGTTGATATGGTAATAATTATTATACCAAAATGTGGTTTTTATAAATAGAAAATTATGATGATATACAAATCATTCATTTAACAGAAGAAAAATTTGTGTAATGTCATCTGTTGGAATATATTAAGTATTACACATGAACTGGATGTTCCCCATAAAATTAAGGTATTCCACACCCAGAGTACACGCAACTGTCAAATAGAAGTTATTGCTTTACCTGTAATCAGCCATACAACTTATCAGTTGACCGACCATGCCACTACAATTCAAAAAGTTTGTTGATAGATGAAAATGAAAATCATCATTTTGATGAAAAAAAATTGAATTGAAATGGATTTTCTTCATCAAAATTATGAAGTTAATTATTTTAACATAAAAACAAATTGAATAATTCCCAAAGATTAAAAGAAAATTATTATCTACTCCAGGAATAATAAAAAAAATGTATTTATAATGGGTCCCATCAATGATTTTTATAGAAATCATCGGTCTTATGAAATGGTTCTCAAACAGACATGCATAATAAGATCTAAACATTTTATTCTTTTCAGGAAGGAGTTATCACAAATATTTATTTTTGATAAAAATTATAAAATTCAACACTCAAATTTGAATAAAAAATGTTTTTGGGTTGTTCTTAAAAATGAATAAGGTTTTTGAATCAAGATGGGAACAAATTCTTTGACCTAAACGAAAGCCCCCCCCTCCCCTCCCCCCCCTCTTTTTTTAGCCACACAAACCCAAAAGATGAATTGCGGGGTCCAAAAGAGATACAAGACACCTATTTTAGTAAAGCAAATTTGACTGGCAGTTTTGCGAACGGCAAAAATCTAAATGCTGTTTGTCAATACCTTCGACTTATATTCCAAGGAAAACAATTACTTAAATGTTTAATAAAAATAAATCAAAATTAAACTACATGGGGGATTATTCAGGGTATTCCAACTCAGTTGCACCAAAAGGGTATCTTACTATACCAAATTAATCCTTGATTCTTCAAAGTTTAGTTTAGCCATAATAAAAAAGGAGTATATAAAACAGCAATAGAATGTCATAAACAGTGCAGAATAAGTCTGTTCACATTTCAGGCGAAATTTATAATGTTGAGATAGTGTCAAGACATATTTAAGACTGTCAAGAATGTGTCGAGACATATTCAGACATTATTTTGAATGTCAAGAATATGTCGAGACATATTCAGACATTATTAAGAATGTCGAGAATATGTCAAGACAGATTGAGACAAATTTAAGACAGTCAAGAATTGGTCGAGACTAATCCAGACTCTTATCAGATGATACAGGAAGTGTCGAGAAATTTTAAGACAATGTTCATACTGTCAAGACACTTGTCAAGAAAAATCAAGAACCTTATTAGACAAATTCATACTATGTCAAGAATTTTTAAAAATTATTCAGACAAATTAAGAATGTCGAGTAAAAATTCATGCAAATTCAGACAAAAACTGGTCTTTTCAGACTTTTTGATTTTTGTAGTGAGAGTTATGACATAACAGTAAAAATAAGGATGTGATATCCAGTTCGAAATAAGAGTTATACAGATAAAGCCAAACTCCCAACCAAATCTATATAATTTTTTATTATGTAATAAAAAATTTAGTGAAGGTTTTATTATTATAATTAGTGGTGACGAAAACCATCATGACCTGATATAGGAAATAGGAAATATATATAAACATGGTCCAAAACAAAAGAAATGAACAATAATGACAGAATATCGTCTCTTCGCTTTTGAAGTAAATCTTTGTATACAGTTTCCTGATTGAACTGAAATACCATTATAATTGATTGGTTATTGTTTGGATAACCTCCAGTGGCAAATATTTCATCCATTCTCACGACAACCAACTATTACGGAAACCTTTGATAAAATTACTACTTATTTGTCGCAGAAAGCGAGATATAGGGATATTGATCTGGCGGCGGCGGCGGCGGCGCTAACTAACCTCTTAAAAACTTAATATTTCAGAAGGTAGAAGACCTGGAGACTTCATACTCTGTATACAGATGCCTTATGTTATGAAATTTCTGTCTGTCATAAGATCATTGTCCTTGACCTCATTTTCATGGTTCAGTGACTACTTGAAAAAAGTTAAGATTCTTTGTAATGTTCATTTCTCTCTTATAATGAGTAATATGATAACTATATTTGGTATGTGCGTACCTTGCGATGTCCTCATGCCTGTCAGACAGTTTTCACTCGACCTTGACCTCATTTCATGGATCAGTGAACAAGGTTAAATTTTCGTGGTTAAGTCCATATCGCGGATACTATAAGCAATAGGTCTACTATATTTGGTGTACGGAATGATTGTAAGTTGCACATGTCCAACTGGCAGGTGTCATTTAACCTTGACTTCTTTTTCATGGTTCAGTGGTTAAAGTTAAGTTTTTGTGTTTTGGTCTGTTTTTCTAATACTGTATGCAATAGGTCAACTATATCTGGTATATAGAAATATTTAACGATATTCATGTCAGTCTGGCATATTTTATTTGACCTTGACCTCATATTCACGGTTCATTGCTCGATGTTAAGTTTTTGTGATTTGGTCTGGTTCTTTTAAAACTATACGCAATAGGTTAACTATGTTTTGTGTATGTAATGATTGTAAGGTGTATATGTCTGTCTGACAGGTATGATCTTACCATGACCTCATTTTCATGGTTCATTGGTCAGTGTTAAGTTTTCCTGGTTAAGTTTGTTTCTAAGATATTATATGCAATAGGTCAATTATATTTGATGTATTGAATGATTGTAAGGTGTACATGTCTGTCTGGCAGGGTTCATCTGACCTTGACCTCATTTTTTTCGATCCTGTAAAGTTTATATGATATTTGTAGTACAACTTTATATTGAAGACTATTAACATAAAATCAGTGGTCAGTAGAACAGGCGAGATATTTCAGCGTGTGCACTCTTGTTGTTCTATCAGAAAGCGTTGTTAAACTTAATTTGAACAAACAATGTTGGTAAAAGTCAATTGGGAGGATACAGGTCGGGGT